ACCCAAGCTATACCCCAAACACATGCTGCAATAAATATTTTTGTTTATGCACATGTGCAACTATTTCTGTAGGAAATTCTACAAAGAAGTGTGTAAATGGAACTTACAATATTTATTGTATACAGTATTTATTTTTGATAAATACTGAATAAGTTGTTCACCGTGAAGACTTAATCACTTTCTTTTCCACCCACAGTGTATAAGCATGCCAATTTCCATCACTCCTCTAGTTCTTTTGTTTTGACCTATCTTTTCATTCTGTTTTCTAATCTGACGAATAAAACTGTCTTAGTCCATTTGTGTTGCTATAAAGGAATACCTGAGGCTGGATAATTTATACAGAGAAGAGGTTTATGTGTTTCATGGTTCTGCAGGCTGTGCAAGAAGCATAGTGACAACATCTGCTTCTGGTTAGAGCTTCAAACTGCTTCTACTCATGGCAGAAGGCGAAGGGGAGCCTTTGTGTAGAGATCACATGGTAAGAGAGGATGCAAGAGAGAGAGGAGGGAGGTGCCAGGCTCTTTTTAACAACCAGCTCTCAAGAGAGTTGAATGAGAACTCACTCACTACAAGGAGGACAGCACCGAGCCATTTATGAGTAAGATTTGCCCACGTGACCCAAACACCTCCCACCAGCCTCCATCTCCAACATTGGGGATTAAATTTCTACATGAGGTGTAGGGGACAAACATCCAAACCGTAAACTGGGTGCGGTGGCTCTCGCCTGTAATCCTAGCACTCTGGGAGGCTGAGGCGGGTGGATTGCTCGAGGTCAGGAGTTCAAAACCAGCCTGAGCAAGAGTGAGACCCCATCTCTACTATAAACAGAAAGAAATTAATTGGCCAACTAATATATATAGAAAAACTTAGCCGGGCATGGTGGCACATGCCTGTAGTCCCAGCTACTTGGGAGGCTGAGGCAGGAGGATTGCTTGAGCCCAGGAGTTTGAGGTTGCTGTGAGCTAGGCTGACGCCAGGGCACTCACTCTAGCCTGGGCAACAAAGTGAGACTCTGTCTCAAAACAAACAAACAAACAAACAAAAAAAAACAAACATCCAAACCGTAGCAAAAACAAATGTCGTATTGTCTAAATTTTCTTTGATTATATATCTGATGGAGTATCTTTTTATAAACTGGCCATTTTTATTTCTTCTGTTTTAAACGGCTTGCTTATATCCTTACTTATTTTTCTATTGTATTGTCTTTTTTCTTACAGTTGTGTTGGAACTCCTCACACATTTTGGATTTTAATTCTTCCTCAAATATGTTGCAAATATGTTGCAAATGTTTTCTCCTGATTACAGTTTTTCTTTATACATTGTTTAGTATTATTTATGTACAGAAGTTTTGAATTTCCATGTGTGAAATTTTCCATTATAGTTCTTGGATTATTGTTTTTTAATTATAAAGACCTTTGTTATTTCACAGATTATTCAAATATTTTCCTGTATTTTCACCTAGTATTCTCTAATTTTGTTTTTTACATGTTTCTCTGGAATTTGTTTTTCTATACAGTGTGAAGTCAGGACCTAACTTTAGCTTCTTCCCCCAAATAGATAACAAACATCATTTATTGATAATTTACCCTTTCCTCCAATGATTTGAAATAGCAGTTTTATTGCAAACTAAATTCCTTTATATACAGAAGTCTGTTGTTGACTGTTCTGTGGATCTATTTTTCTTTTCCCAAATACCATACTGCTTCAATCATTACAATATTATAGTTTGTTTTGAGATTTTTTTAAATTTTTGTATTTCTTTTAAATTTTTAAACATGTTTTATTTTCTAATTGTCAACATAAATTTGAGAATCACCTTGTTAAGGTTGACAAAATATCCAACTGGAATTTGGATTGAATTACCATGACATTACCAATTAATGTTGGGAGACTGAAAGACTTGATCATCTTTACAACATTAAAATTCCATATTTGGGAATACCATATTTATTCAAGTCATATTTTATGTCTTTCAGTCAGACTTCATGATTTTCTTCATATAGATTTTGCATATTTCTTTTTGGTTTATTCTTAGGAAGTTTTAGTTTTTCTTACTATTATTAGTGGGCTTCTTTATTCTGTTACTTTTTCTAATTGGTACATAGCAAAGCCATTGATTTGTGTATGTTGATCATATAATCTACCTCTTTATTGAACTTTTTAGCACTAATAGTTATTCAGCGGAATCTTTTGCATTTTTAAAATGTATTAACACCTATAAAGTAGTGACAATTTTATTATTCTTTTCTACTTAAAAAAAAATGTTACTACATTGGCCGAGACCTTTAGTATATGGTTGAAAAAGGTAAAAATAAATGTATTTTCAGGTTAAGGATAGGCCAAGTATGCTGAATACAATCATAGATAACCATTAAAAGATGCTGGTATCTATGAGGCCACAGATGACAGCAACCATTTTATTTTATGTCACTACTAGCTATAAAATATTGTACTATATGGATAGATCTTCAGTTTGAGCCAAGATGATGACTCTAATCTCTCTTTATCTTGACTTGTTTATTATTTTTAAATGTACATACAGCAAAAATGTCACTCTTCTTTATTTGTTTACAGTCTATGAGTTTTAATAATGCATAGATTCTTATAATCACCAGCACAAACAGGATACAGAACATTTCCATTATAACTCTTCTAAGCCAGTCTCTCAACCCAGCCCTAAATCTGAAAACTAGTAATCTGTTCTTCATCACTATAGTTTGGTCTTTTCCAGAATTTTGTATAAATGGAAATATAAGGCATGTAAGCTTTTGAGATTAGCTTCTTTCACTAACATAATGCATTTCAGATTCATCCATGATGTTATGAGTATCAGTAGTTCATTCCTTTTCATTACTGAGTAGTATTTCATTGTATGGTTGAAGTTTGCTTATTCATTCATCTGTTGATGGATATTTGGATCATTTTTAGCTTTTGGTGGTTGTGAATAATGACTGCTCTGAACCTTTGTGAAAGTTTTTGTGTGCACATATGTTTTCATTTCTCTAGACTAAATCCTAGAAGTGAGATTGCTGGGTCATATGGTAGGTATTTGTTTAACTTTGTAAAAAAACTATCAAACTTTTTCAGAGTGATTGTTCCATTTTGCATTTTTACCATCAATGTACGAGAGTTCTGGTTGCTCTGGATCCTTGTTAGCACTTGGTATTGTCAGTATATTTTATTTTAGTATCCTATTTGACTTTGCATTTTTCTAATGAGTACTGAATTTGAGCATCATTTCATGTGGGGTTTCTTTTGCCACCCATATATCTTTTTTGATGAAGTGTCTACTCAAATCTTTTGTGCATATTTTTTACTGGATCCTCTTTCCAAGTTTTAAGAATTCTTTGTATAGTCTAGATATAAGTTCTTTGTCAAATATATGACTAGCCAACATTTTCTCCCAGTCCATAGCTTATCTTTTTATTTTTATAACAATACCTCTTGAAGAACAGAAGTTTTTTCATCTTAACAAAGTCCAGTTTATCAATTTGTTCTTTTATGGATCATGGTTTTAGTTTCATAACCATGAAATTTTTGCCTAATTCAAGGTTATGAAATTTTCTCCTATATTTTCTTCTGAAGGTTTTATAGTTTTATATTTTATATTTAGATTTTATATTTAAGTCTATTATCCATTTGAGTTAATTTTCTATATGATGTGAAGTATAGATCAATATTCTTTTCTTTTTTTTTTTTTTTACTTTTGTATGTCTATTTTTTCCAGAATCATTTGTTGAAAAGACTATCCTTTCTCCATTGAGTTGCCTTCATACCTTCATTGAAAATAAATTGACTGAATTTGTGAAGATCTGTTTCTGGAGTGTTCATTCTGTTCCACTGATCTGTTTGTCTATCTTTTCACCAATACTACTGTCTTTTTTACTATGGATTTATGAGATGTCTTTAAAACAGGTTGTGTGAGCCTTCTAATTTTATTTTTCAAAATTGTTTTAAATACTTTAGTTTCTTTGCATTTCTATAAGAATTTTAGAATTAACTTGTTCATATCTATAAAGAATTCTTTTAGGATTTTAATTAGTATTGCATTAAATCTTCATACTTACATGAGGAAAATCACCATCTTAACCATATTGAATTGTCCAATCCACAAAAAGGATATGTCTCACCATTTACTTAGGTCTTCTCTGATTTCTTTCATCTGCATTTTGTAGTTTTCAGAATACAGATCCTGCATATCCTGTTAAAATTAAACCTAATGTTCCATTTATTGGAAATTATTATGAATGGTTCTGTTTTTAAATTTTGGATTCCAATTGTTTATTGGTAGTGTATAGAAATACAAGTTGTTTTTCGTATATTGACCTTGCTAAATGACTTATTGATTCTAGTGCTTTGGTGGTGGTGGTGGTTGTAGAGTTCTTGGAACTTTCTACCTGCAAATAAGGACAGTTTTATTTCTTCCTTTCCAATTTGAATGCCTTTTCTTTCTTTTTCTTATTTTAGTACACTGGCTAAGACTTTAATACATTTATGTCTGTAATCAAACTGGAATTAATTTTTAGGTAGGGTATGATATAAAAATCAAGTTTTCTTTTTCCAGTCCGAGAGTTGGGGAGAGGGCTATGGGGGGAGGAGAGGGTGACAGAGGGAGCAGAATCGCCTGTTTTAACAGATCTCCTGAAAGGTCAATGCTGCCCTACTTAAGCATCTGGAGCAAGACTGGGAGTCCTTGAGTTTCACTTCAGTAGCAGGAGTTTGTCACTTTAAGGCAAAAACCAGGAAGTGGAAAGTAGATGCGGAGAGGCGGGAAGGACGGAGATAGAGGACCACTCTGTTTCCAGAGAGAGCATTGGAGAGCGCGGGTCACTGCAGGTGAAGAACGGGGAAGTTGTGGGATTGATTCTTCCTGCCCCGAGCGCTGCGGCGCACGCCTCAGTCCTGCAGAGGGAGGGAGACCGGGTGCCGCCGAGTGGGCGGGGTGTTGGCTGAAAGGAGGTGGGGCGGGACCGCTTCTCCCCATTGGCCGTGGCTGTTGTTTGTACACTGTCGGTTCCTACTTATTTGACGATAGCCAAGAGTCAGAGTGGCCCGGCAGATCGCAGCTGGAGGATTGGCAGGGGATCCAGGAAAGGCGGGAGACCCGGTACACACGGCAGAGGGCTCTCCGCTCTGGGTCTTGCGGGCGCGGGGCTCCCCCATGCCACGCAGGGCGGTTCCCTGTGGCTCAGAGGACAGAAGGCGTCTCTTGTCACAGCGTTTATTTGAATGCCATGGCCACGGTCTTTCTTGAAAAGTGTTGACTGATGGGTGCTTTCTGTCTTTTGTCATCCTTTCTTTAGAACCTCAGTGACATTTACCCAGCCAGGTGAGGATCTCTGGAGACCATGACCAAGAAAAGAATTGCTGTGATTGGGGCAGGAGTGAGCGGGCTGTCTTCCATCAAGTGCTGCCTGGAAGAAGGCTTGGAACCTGTCTGCTTCGAAAGGACTGATGACATCGGAGGGCTCTGGAGGTTCCAGGTACATCTCTTCATCCCTTAATACTTGAAGCCCTCCCTGCATCTAGGTGCATGAAATATTTTATCTCATGTCCAGGAATATGATGGGCTTGACAGTGATTCAGCCTGCTGACCTCTTCTCAACAGCTACCACTTTAGGTTTTATGCAGGTTCCTCTTGCCCTAGGCTGGCAGCAAAATGGGGTGCGTTGGTTGCTCACGGTCTGTATTAATAGGTAAATGAGCTAGAACTATCTGCTCGCAACTCTTTCCAGGAATCCTCCATTTCAATCTTCTCTAACCTTGGTGTTATTACTGTTTTTTTCTAAATTCTGGCTCACTTTAGGTAATTCTCTGACAGTCCTAATCCTTGAATAGAATATAAAATCTGGCTGCCTTAATTGCTTTGAACTTTCCCCTTCCTTGAGAAGTCCAAAGTCCTGTCTTAGAGATAGGGCAGAGTGCACCTGCAATTTGCATATACTGTTTTAAATTTGAATTGTTTTAATATGCACATCCAGCCCTGCCACTTGTCAGTAGCTTACTTAAATGATAGTTATGCTTATTACATTTCAGAGAATATCAACCACCTTTATTGATCTCCAAACAGACATGCATTGAGTTTGTTTTTAAACTTTCTTAACCAGTGAATAGTAGTGAGGTGCCCCAGATGTGTTTCACATTTCATACTTCATAAAAACCAACACAGTGTTGACCAGCTACCTAAATATGCCTTTATAGCATTCTTTAGTTGAGCAGAAGAAGTCCTTTTGTATCTTGGCTGTGTTTTAGGGACTAACTCTGTTTGACAATAGTCCTTATTCAAATCTAGAGTGGATCACCTTAGCAGACCCATATGCCTCTATCATCATGATGAGTCTTGGGCAGAGGCTAAAAAGCCTGTTAATTAGTTTTTAGTAATTGACAAAAACTTCTACTCTTGAAATCCAGCCACAATATAGTGTAGAGATTAAGAGCACAGTCTTGGGTTCAAATCCTGTTTCTGTCATGTACTAGCAGTATGACCTTGTGCAAATCAGTATGCCTCTCTGGTACCTCTGTTTCTTCATCTTTAAGAAGGGGATAATAATAGTACCCACTTTGTAGAGCTATTGGAGAGATTAAGTAAATGAATAATTATTTCAGTCATTTGTAACAGTACCAGGTGCACAGTGCTACATGTCAGTCATTATTCAGTAGGGCTAGGCTGGGACCCATGCATGTGGTGTCTTTGCTAATCGTCCTAGCCAGTTTTGACAATTACTGAATAGGCATGAAATGAATTGAGGATGGGAGGAGTTTGGGAAGGTGTCTATCATCCCACCTGATTATCAAGTTTCTGTTTTTGTCTCCAAAGTGGTTTAAATTTATTCTGTGCTAAACACTTAACTTGCAGTTTTTTCCTAATTATCCTCTTGGCAAAATTCCAACACTTTATAAACTGCTTCTTTGAAAACAAATAAACTATGTTTCATCATAACACTGACTTCTATTAAGACAGACCACATCCATGTGATTCATCATTATATTTCTAGAGCCAAGCATGTATTTTCCTCTCTAGATTTTTTTAAGTTCCCCAGATGATTCTAATATGCAGACAAGGTTGAGAACAATAGTTCAAAGAGCTGCCGTCCCATGGGATTTTGAGAGTCTGACAAGGGGACAGAAGACCCAAATGTCCTGATTCTTCCATCGAAGGGAGTCATTTTTCTCCTTTCCACTGTCCTTATTACTGTCTCTAATCCCTTCTGCTCTGATCACTCCACCTTACGTCCCTGCTCTCTCGCTTGTTATATGTACTTCCTACTCAAATATGTGAGCCTTGTGCCTAGGTAGAAAATATAATTGGTACAAAATTTGTAGAGGGCAGATTTGTTCATCAATGGTAGGAAATGATAAAATCTAAGAGCTTGTTTTTCTACTCACAGTCTCAATATTGCTCTGTGCCCACTCTCTTTTGTAAAGTAGTGGGTTGGCCCAATGATATACTCTACTAGGATCTAATCAGGTGGCTAGAAGAGGCTTGAAGTTTTTTGTTGACGGAAGATAATACTTCGTTGCGGTTAGTGACTTCAAAACGAATAGAAAGATATGAATATTATCAAAGACATGAGATCTGTGATTCATTTCATTCAGTGACCCCAACAGACCTGCTGTAGAAAGTGTGGCTCTACTCTTTGTACTAAACTTTGAACCTTTGGAAGATAGGGACAGACTTGTATTTTTCAGCACCTAATATAGTATTTTATTACAGAGGGACTTTATAAATATCTGTTGAATGAATGAAAGAATAAAGGACATAAAATTCAGAAGTTAGAAATGTGCCTTCTTTCTCCTCCCCCCCACTCCCCGTGCAAACATCTTAATTCCAAAATGATCTTCCATTCATTCATTTATATTAATTTTTTTAAATGTGATTATATACAAACAATATGTTTAAGTAAACTTTAATTTTAGAGCAGTTTTAGATTTATAAAATTTATTAGGATAATAGTATAAACAGTTCTGGTATACCCCATGTCCAATTCTCCAATTATTAACATCTTACATTAACATGATACATTTTTTTTCTATTTTTTTTGCTTTTTTTTTTGGAGACAGTGTCTCGCTCTGTTGCCCAGGCTAGAGTGGTGTGGCATCAGCCTACCTCACAGCAACCTCAAACTCCTGGGCTCAAGTGATCCTCCTCCCTCAGCCTCCCAAGTAGCTGGAACTACAGGCATGCACCACCATGCCCAGCTAATTTTTTCTTTTTTTTTTTCTTTTTCTAAGACAATGTAACAGTGCCTATCAGCTAATTTTTTCTATATTTTTAGTTGGCCAATTAATTTCTTCCTATTTTTAGTAGAGATGGGGTCTCGCTCTTGCAAGAGCTGGTTTAGCTGGTTTCGAACTCCTGACCTTGAGCAATGCTCCCGCCTCGGCCTCCCAGAGCGCTAGGATTACAGGCGTGAGCCACTGCACCCACTCATTCTTGACACTGGGAACCAAATGACATCCACATAGACGAACCTAACATTACTAAAATATTTACCTATTGGGGGGACATTTAAAGTTGTTTCTAATTAATTGCTATTTTAAATAATATTAAAATGTATATCTTTATGCATTTAACTTTTATATTATTTTGTGATTTTTCTTAGAACAAATTTTTGTGAATGAGATAGATGTATCTTATTCAACTCTTTTTGAGATAAATTTTGATGTTTCATTAATTCATTATACATTATGTGAAGTTTACTTCTTATTCTATACATGCATTTCTTAATATAATTTGTCATATACATCTATTAAACATTTACTGAGTGCTTGTTTATAATTGTAGATGTTGTAGGGAAAACCATGAATACAGTGCAAGGGGCTTAATAATCTAAGCCCCTTGAAGAGCTAAGGAATATGCTAACAGCTGTCCCCAACCTTTTTGGCACCAGGGGCTGGTTTCATGGAAGACAATTTTTCCATGGATGGGGAGAGCAGGGGTGATGGGTGGGTAGGTGGAGCTCAGGTGGAGATGCCAGCAATGGGGAGCAGCTATAAATACAGATGAAGGTTGGCTCACTACCCCACAAAAAAAAAATTCATGGAAGTAATTTTTCCACAGATGGGGTTGGCAGCAGAGCTCTGAGGCCCATTCCCTAACAGGCCAGACTAGTAGTGGGGGTTAGGGACCACAAACACACATTATGGAGGTCTTTGAATCCTAAGCTGAGAAATAGGAAATATGTTCTATAGAAAGCAAGGCAACATCTAAAATTTTAATTGGGGCAGAGATATAGTCCCAGTCACACCTTAAAAAGAACACTTTGGTTGAAGTGGGTAGGATAGATTATAAGAAAAGAGTTTAAAGGATAACTCAGGAAAATGTTATTAGCAGTCAAAAGTAATGAGTTACTGGATTATGGGAATGATCAATTTAGGATTCCTTGAGTGAATAATTCTTCAATAAAAATGGAAGGAAAACAGTCTTATGTGGACAAAGCCAAAAAATACTCTCTTTTTGTGGGCACTTAATATTTTGTAATACCCAATATTCCAACATCTGTTCAGTTCTGGAATAAAAAGGGAGGAGGATATGCAAATTGATTAAAGCAACTTTCCATAATCAAAACTATTTTTGAAAATCTAATAACTTGAAAACTTGTCATTTGTGACAGAATAATAGGCTGGGTAGAGAGTGTATTATTTTGTGTGATCGCCACAGTAACAACCCTATGAGGTAGTTACTAGGGAGTTTTTGAGGAAGCAAAGCAGTTTGTTGTATGGGGAAGAACACTGAGTTGGGGATTAATGTCATCTAAAGCAATGCCTCTCAGATTTAATCTGTATCTGAATCACTTGAGGATTTTGCTAAAATGTGGGTTCTGATTCAGTAGGTCTAGGGCCTGAGATTAAGCATTTCTAACAATCTCCTGAGTGATGCCCCTGATGCTGGTCCACAGATCACATTTTGATAACAACGATCTAGAGCAGTGGTTCTCCAATTTTAATGTATTTTGTTGGGCATTTAGCTCATTTCCTTTTCATATTATGAATAATGCTGGCATCAGCAGCCTTTAACATAAATCTTTGTCAACAATGCTGAGTATTTCTTTAAAAGATCAGGTAAGTTTCAAGGGTTTTCACGACATTGCTCTCCAGAAAACACTGTACTAACTTACACTCTCCAGTATATGTTCCAGTATATGTTCATATTCTCCAGGATATGTTTCCACTTTATCTCATTTTTACTCTTTTAAAAGACTATCACTCAATGTTAGTAACTCTTTGTTCACATATTTAGAACTTCAGCTTGGATAGCTAGAACTTATGGGGACTGGCTGCACATTTTTCTATCCTAGACATTCTCTTCGTGTGGCTAGCTCGGGCTTCTTCACACTATGGTGGTCTCCCTCCCGGTAGTTGGATTTCTTACGTGACTGCTGTCTTCTACCAAAGCGAGCTTTCTTAGATACCCAGGCAGAAGATACAAGGCTACGTATGACTTAATCTTAGAAGTCATTCAGTGTCATTTCAACTGTATGTTGTGGGTCAAAAGCAAGTCATAAAGATGCCTCAGGTTCAGGGGGAAGGCACTACACAAGGACTATACTAGAAGATGTGGAGGAGTGTGTGTGTGTGTGTGTGTGTGTGTGTGTGTGTGTGTGTGATTTGTATTCATTGGCATTTCTTGCAGCAAACTTTTTCAGATGTTTTTTGGATCTTATTAAATCATGAAGATAATTCTCAAGTTGCTATGAATGCTTTTTATTTATTGCAGGAAAATCCTGAAGAAGGAAGGGCCAGTATTTACAAATCAGTGATCATCAATACTTCTAAGGAGATGATGTGCTTCAGCGACTATCCCATCCCAGATCATTACCCTAACTTCATGCACAACTCCCAAGTCATGGAGTATTTCAGGCTGTATGCTAAAGAATTTGACCTTATAAAGTATATTCGATTTAAGGTAGAGAACTTTAAGTGTATCTTTCTGTTTGAAGTTGTTTGTCAAGTAAATGAGCATTGTCATTTCATTTACCAATATTTACTTCTAAAGATTGGCTTGATATGCACATGTATTTATTTTACCTAGGCAAAGACTCCACTCCTTTTCTTCTCTGTACCTGAAAAATATTAATGAGAAGGTCTCTCTTTTATATTATTTGGCTGCAGATACAGGAAGCCACCTGCCAGAGTGTTTTCATCACCTTCATTTTATACTATTTGATTACAATAAAACAGATGAGGGGAAATGCTTTCCCAGTTACAGAAGGGACCTGATAGGTATGAGAACTTTAAAACCTGGTTCTGGTCCCAAGGCATAGTGGCTCACATCTGTAATCCTAGCACTCTGGGTAGCCAAGATGGAGGATCACTTGAGGTCAGGAGTTTGAGACCAGCCTGAGCAATAGCGAGACCATGTCTCTACTAAAATTAGAAAAAATTAGCTGGGCATGGTGGCGCATGCCTGTAGTCCCAGCTACCTGGGAGGCTGAGGCAGGAGGATCCTTGAGCCCAGGAGTTTGAGGTTGCTGTGAGCGAGGCTGATGCCACAGGCACTAAAAAAACCTGGTTTCACAATTTTTCCACTACTGCCCCTTTATGTTTCCTGCAGTACTTTCCAGTTCATTATTTTTTGTAATCACCACAACAATCCAGTGAAGTAGTTATTGGAAAGTTGTTGAGGAAGCAGAGAAGTTAACCCTGATGAAGAGGGAAGAACACTGAATCAGGGAACAAAAACCTGAACTCTGGTCTTTGCTCTACCACTGATTAACTTGTGATGTTAGACAAATAAGTTCCTGAACTTCAAATTGTCTTAACTTCCTTATTTGTAAAACAAGATGATTGTACAGGTCACTTCACTGGTTCCTTCCAGCTATAAAGTCTTCATGATTTTTCTATAATATCTAACCATGACCATAAAAGAACAGACAACAGACATTTCCGACAGCTGGCAAAAGCCCCAATCGTCTATCTTCTGCTAAGTCATGCCTTTTTCTGTTTAACAATCATAAAATTGTAACATCCAGTGACAACTTCCAAAGTAAGACATTTACAGCCCAGTGGAGCTTCTCTTCACTTGTTTAAACAACACTGATTGAACAAGTTTGTTACCATGCTAAACAGTGAAGATGCAAAGACAAAAACCAAAAAAACCCAATAACTTAAAAGTCTATTTAAAAAGACAGAAAATTTTTATTATAAAAATAATTAATAAAAATAGAGAATTACTGGGCGGTAAATGCTACAGAGATCTATACATTGCAGCTCAGAGGAGAGATATTGAACCCATCAGGGCATGAAGCATTAGGTTCCAGGGAAGTTTTCTTAGGAGAGATCATGTCCAAGCTGACTCTTAAAGGATGAGTAGGGTTCTGCCAAACAAAGAAGGAATACAAGGGAGACCCAGGCAGAGGTACCAGCCTGTGTGAAAAAACATGAGAGGAACTGGAAATAGCGCTGGCTGGCTAGGGCATACGGGATGGTGTCTCTGTTAGTCCACCAAGACATCATGGCCATACACCCTAGAAGCACACAGTGTTTGCTTAGGCTGAGTAGAGTAACTCAATATTTTTTATTTTTAAAAAAAAATCTAAAAATTATACTACTGACTATGCCATTTCATAGCTTTTTTCTTTATAGTTACTTATAAAATGGGCATTTATGAGAGCCAAAGAGAGATTCGTTTATATAAAATGAGATCCACTGAGAAGTTTTTCTACTCTGCCAGGAAAAGAAGCCCTATAGCTCAGTCACATGTTTAAAGCTAGCCAGTGTGAACACGACTTGGGGCAAGAAGCCATCAGAGGGTCTTAGGATGTCTGGGGGTCAGGAGAGGAACAGGCATTTCATTCATGGAGTGCCACAGAAGCACAGGAAAAGCCCAGGCTTTTGGACCAAGGGACCTAGTGACTTGCAATTTTCTAGAAGCAGTGGAGAGTACAACAGTAGCCTGCCAATTCTATTTTTTTTTTTTTTTGAAACAGAGTCTCACTGTGTTGCCCAGGCTAGAGTGAGTGCCGTGGCGTCAGCCTAGCTCACAGCAACCTCAAACTTCTAGGCTCAAGCAATCCTCCTGCCTCAGCCTCCCGAGTAGCTCAGCCTACAGGCATGTGCCACTATGCTCAGCTGATTTTTTCTATATATATTAGTTGGCCAATTAATTTCTTTCTATTTATAGTAGAGACGGGAGTCTCACTCTTGCTCAGGCTCGTTTCAAACTCCTGACCTTGAGCAATCTGCCTGCCTCGGCCTCCCAGAGTGCTAGGATTACAGGCGTGAGCCACCGCGCCCGGCTGCCAACTCTATTTTATTAATTCTTCTTCCTGGAAGTTTTCTCACTCTGACCACAGCTCAAAACAAAACAAAACAGTTCTTATTTGTGGAGTATAAAGATCAAATATCCCTGCATGGGCCCTATTATGTGATGGTGCCTGTGATATCAGCCCTTGGTAACATCCTGCAAGCAGAGTCATGTCAGGGAAGATGCCCACATATAGGCTGTGGTTACAGCCCCCTGTGGTTATTACTGTTTTTTTTCAGACCATTGTGTGCAGTGTGAAGAAGCGGCCTGATTTTTCTACTTCAGGCCAGTGGGAGGTGGTCACTGAGTCTGCAGGGAAAAAGGTGACGGATGTCTTTGATGGAGTCATGGTTTGCACTGGCCATCACACCAATGCTCACCTACCCTTAGAAAGCTTCCCTGGTAAGTAACCCACAAGGAAGGAAGGCCTTTGACCCATGCCTGTGACCTGACCCCTGAGGAATGAGAGGATTGTGATCCGAGTGATTCCTGCTTTCGGATGAAATAAGGCTTATTCTAATCTGTATGTTCCCCTGAAAAATGTTGGGGTAACTTATATTATTCCCATTTGGGGAGGTAGAGATAATGGTAATTTTGGAGATTAGAGGCAAATTAGAGGTCTATCTATTTAGTTACACAATGACTTTAGTTTTTTTAAGGATCAAAATAAAGAATGTGGAATTCTTGATGAGCATCAGGTTGAATGAGGAATTTTTTAGCAATCGAGGAAACAAACAGAAATATTAAGTTTCTAAGGAAGAAATGAAAACTTCAAGAATTTAATTGCAGCCTTTGACATGGATTTTCAGTTTGAGAAAAAATGCACCCTATGTATACTCTAGAGTATAAAAAACATGTATACCCTAATTGAAATGGGAGTAGGTATTTAAAGGGATTAAAAGACAAATGGGAATGGAGGTTTCCTGAGGAAATTTTGATTTGTGAGTCTACAAATCCAAAATACAAATGGATCCCAAGTTAAGCAAACTACTTATGATAACAAAATCACAAGATCTTACTCTGAGGCTATGGGAAAAGAAAATAGGCAAAAATATTCAGAAAGGCAAGATAGTAGCCAAGTAAAGGGAGAACATACGGAGAATATATGCTTGACTTTTAAGTTCTGCAAACAGACTGAGTAATCTGACAAATGATATTCATCAGATAAACCATCACCCAATACTTATTTTCCCTTCTCTTGCAGGAATTAAGAAGTTCAAAGGACAGTACTTCCACAGTCGAGACTATAAGAACCCAGAGGGATTCACTGGAAAGAGAGTCATCATCATTGGCATTGGGAATTCTGGAGGGGATCTGGCTGTGGAGATAAGCCACACGGCCAAGCAGGTTGGAATCAGTATATCCTTTTGCTTCACTCTTGCTTCACTCTCGGCAAGGAAGCTGCAGGTGGACCCAAGAGAGAGCATGGACACCTGCCCGTAGGTGCAGTGGCAGGTGGAGGGCTTGGTTTCATTGCCTCGGTTGGCAACATGATTGAAGCAAATGGAGGAGTCGAGGTTACCAGCTGGCCTTACACTAGGGAATTAGATCATGGCCACAGACTGTGCTCATATTTCTAGCCAGCCACCATCTCAGAGTGTGCCTCTGGCTTTGATAAATACCAACGAATTGTTGGGAGAGCTTGTTAGAATGCAACCTTCGGAGTGTGGCTCTACTGTTAGCCAACAGAAATCCCATGTTCTTCTGTGAAGGAAAGCTCACTGGGATCATTACAAACTTTTCACTCATAGGACGGTGGGTGAATTTTCCTTTTCATTCCTCAAATGGAAAGAAAAAGCAATCTAATCTTTCCAGAGACAATGTGGATATTAGTATAAAGAGAGTCCACACTATAGCACGTGCAAGCAGCTCACCTCAGCCTTTGCATACAGTTATGTAACTCAGAATGACATTCATTCTAAAGCAATTTCTACAAGATGTAATAGTAGAAAGAAAAGAAAAGCAATTTCTATCTGTTTGGTTTTCTGTTTTGTTTGTTTTGGTTTTTATATCATAGATTTTTGAACTGGGAAGAAAGTGTCTTCACTTTGAATTCCTGGAAAAAGATGTCATTATTATATTTTGTTATTTATGTCTTTATTGAATCATAACTCTATTAGCAATAGATAAACGTCTGGTTGTTATTCAGTCACTTTAAGCTTTGCTTCTCCACAAATATGCCTTAAATTATTATTGTTTTTAAATAGAAGCTTAATGCCACAACTTTGTTAAATGACTCTCCTTCAGCAACTTTGTTCCAATAACACTTGGCTGTACTAGCCTCGTCTGTAACCACAAAAGCGATTTCATATGTTACTCCAGGAATTAATCCAACAAAAACTTATCAGGAGATAATTATTAAAATAAGAAAGGGTAAGAATGTGTATTTGTCTTATGCTAGAAGAATGTGCAAGTAAGCAGTAGGGACCCATGGCAAGAGCCTTCTTTAACATCATTGGCTTTGCACGGTCAGTTCTAAGGGAGCTGGGCCTTACTTGCCTTGGGGAATTGTAGATTGCCAAGAAACACAAAAGCATTCTGAGTATGTGGAGACAAGGTAGCTGTGTATGGGAGAAAGCCAGAGAAAATGCATAGCAAAGTTATATGTGCATAACAGAGGCAATACCGTCACACCACAAATGCAAAATGAAGAAACTCAGTTACTGGGTTCTAACTTTTTGCTTTACATATTCAATTGCATTAATGAGAATTTGTTTATAAATCAAAATTTTTAGATGGACCTATACATTTCAGTGTATCAAGGAAGTTTTGGTATAATTCTTGTGGTATACCACTTTTATAAAGAGAAAATATCTCTTTCTTACAAGATTAATTTCATACAAGATTATATTGATTAAAGAATTTTCCTCACTTCTTTTTCTGATATATCCATTTTTTCCTTATAAATATGTTGTTTGCTTAAAACCAAGTATATATGGAAAACTGAAGTAAAAATTATGACAGCCATCAAGTATTTATCAAGTGTTTACTATATACCACATCTTTTACAAAAACACTCAAATTCTCGCAGTAGCCTTGTGATGTATGTATTATTGTCAGTATTTTATAAATAGGAAACTTTGTAATTAAGGCTCTGACCATTTTCCTTGCTCATGAAAAGTTATATAGCCTGCACTCAAAACCATTCAATTCCTAAGACCTTGTATGCTCTTTCAACTATGACATGTAAAAGTACATAATTGTCATAGCATTCATGGTCACCATAGGTAAGAATATGTTTGTGAAGCAAAGGATTATCCCTATCTAGACAGGTCATCTTTTTACATGAGACTGTAAACAAAAGACCAGGAAGCAATGTACTTATATATCTTACAAGTCTGGAAACTGTCTCCGGAGAGTTTTATAATGTAGAAAAAGTGATGCTTTTGCCACATAATTGAATATTAAACCTTTATCAATTCTGAACATGGACTTTAACCAGAGAGGATGCAGAAACTCTGACCAACTTCCTGTTGTTCTACTAGCAATCTTAATTTTTTTCTATTAAATTAATCAATAAAATATTTCTTAAGCACAGGTTTTGGAGTTAGTTGGACCTGGGTTGGAAATTCAGCTCTGCCTCCTACTAGTTGTATGATCTCAGGGAAGTTATTCATCTTCTCCATGCCCCTTGCCCATAGACTGGGGATAATGATACCTTCCCCAAGATATTGTGTGGATTAGATGAAAATATAGATAAAGGACCTAGCACAGTGACCTACGGGTTACAAATCTCAATAAATGGAAGTGATGATAATGTGTTAGGGAGACTATAAGGTGTGTAGGCTATGCCTCCCACCCTCAAGAAAACACATTTGAAGAGACAGAAATTAAGAGTGTATAAAGTTTAATATCAATGTAAATGATAAATATGAGAGTTGGTTTTTTGTTTTTTTTTTGTAACAATGCAAACAAAGTCAATGGCAAAAAGACTGAGGGTTTTGGATTAAATAATCCCCAGTTGCTTTCAGCTTTACCATGCCACGATTTTTAATGAGTTTTATAGGTGGTAAGTACTAGAGAAGTGCAGAAAATGGAGAAAAAATTGTTAGCCTGACTGGTCAGTGGTGTCTACAAGGAGGAGGAGGCAGACTTCATATAGATTTTAAAAATGAATAAGCTTTTGAGAATTAAGAGGAGAGAGAGCTTTTCGGGCAGGCAAAATGGCATTAAACAGAAATATAGTGGTAGATCAGAGTAAGACATGCTCTTGGATAGTAAATATACCGATTTAATTTTAAGCTTTGTGTTTGGGAAGGAAGATGGCAACAAACAAACAAACAAACAAACAAAACATTGTGAGGGGATTAAAAAGCCAGACTAATGAGTTTGAATTTCATCTTGAAGAAAATGGGGATGCTTTTGAAGGTTTATGAGCCAGAGTGACAAAAGCAAACCATTTCTCCCATGCCCCAGGTTTTTCTCAGCACCAGGAGAGGGGCCTGGATCTTGAATCGTGTAGGGGACCGTGGATATCCTTTTGATGTGGTGTTCTATTCTCGACTTAAATATTTTATAACCAAGATATGTGGTCAATCATTATTAAACACATATTTGGAAAAAAGGATGAACGAAAGATTTGACCATGAAATGTTCGGTCTGAAGCCTAAACACAGGTATGTCCTGGAATGGGAGTGGGGTGGTAATGGCCCAGGCACAAGGGAAAGGACTGTTCACAGGGGCTAATAATAGAGCTACCTCTACCAAGACATTAAGAAAACCCACAGAATCTAAGATCAGATTTCTGCCTTGTCCTCCACAGAAGTCCAAGGCCCACTGGTCTGTAGGTTTTTGGTGTATAATTCTCATTGGCATTACCATTTTCTCATTTCTCCAGGTATCAGTCCTTTTTACACGATGCCCAAAAACAACAACAGAATGGTAGTGAGGGCAGCACATCATTGGTTCATTCATCCAACAAACGCTGAGCACCTGTTATGAGCCAGGCCTGAAATACAGAGAGAAAAGACATAATAGTAATCAGTATTGCAATACTGATACAAATAATAAAACCTTTTTGAAGACTTTCTATAAGACATAAATAAGATACATGCATCGTCTCACTCAATCCTCACAACAGCCCTATCAGTTGGTACTATTTTTCTCTCCATGGTACAGATATAAAAATTGAGACTTAGAGAAACAAAGTAATGTGCCCAAGTTCAACACAGTAATAAATGGCAGACTCAAGAAATGGCTCAGATCTCAAACACTCTAATGAGAAGGAAGACAACAGTGTGTAATAAAGAAATACATAGAGTGCTATGAGGGTATAAAGGATGAGGTCCAAAGGAAAGCATTTTTAAAGGCTGACTTAACATTCTTTTCCCTTCAACTTTTTATTTTTGAAAATGTTCATATCTGCAGAAAAGTTGTAAAATAGTAAGTACAATGAATCATATACCCTTCACCTGGACTCACCTATTGTTAACATTTGCTATATTTGCTTTCTCTTGCTCCCTCCTGAAGATAGATTGATCCACATAGGTATAGAATACTACAGACATGAGTGCATATTTTTTTCTGAACCATTTGAGAGTAAGTTGCAGTCATTAAGATACTTTATCCTAAATATTTCAGCATATATTGTCTAAGAAAAAGGGCATTCTCATACATAACCATAATATAATTATCATACTTGGGAAATTTAACATTGTAAAATATATTAGCTAATATATGGCATATTCAGCTTTCTCTAGTTATCCCACTGATATTTTTATAGCCTTTTTCTTCTTTTTTTTAAATCCAGGGTCCTGTCAGGTATCAGTTATATCACTGCATTTAGTTGTTATGTCTCTTTAATCTCTCCTCATCTGAAATAATTCTCCACTCTTTTTTTTTGTTGACAAAACTTTTTTTTTCTTTTAAAGAATCCAAGGCATGATTTTATAGAGTCTCTAAATTTGGACTTGCATAGTTGTTTTTCCTTTATTATATTCAGGTTAAATATTTTTGGCACATATACTACATAGGTGATGTTGATCTTCTTAGATGGATCACATCAGGAGCCACATGATATCAGTTTATCCCATAGTAATGACACTAAATTTGATCACTTGGGGAAGGTGGTATCTACCAAGTGTCTCCAGTATAAAGATATTTTTCCTTTTGAAGCTAATCAGTGGGTTAATATTTGGAGACTGTGTTTACCAAAAGCCTCTCACCTAATTATTTTAACATGTATATCTTTGGTGGCTACAAAATAAATACATTGAGGCTTTATGGAATAACAAGAGACAGCCAAACAAATAGGGTGGGGGGTAGCATTCTAATTATAAGTACAAAGTCTTGGAATAGCAGAAATGATACTATGCTCTGGGACCCCCAAGTAGTCTGGTATGGCTGGACTATATGGCAAGGTTGGACGAGGGATTGAATATATCTCCAGCTTCCTCAGACATGAAAACCTTTGTTTAGGCTTTGCTAAACAAAGGATCTGGAATGAAGACAGTCTTAAAGCCATTCAAAGTGAGTGACGTAATAATAAGTGTATTTTAGAATGACCATTCTTAAAATGGTGAATAGGGATGGGACAGGGGGCCATAAAGAGAACTGTAATTGTCCAGGTGAGATAAGGAGGAGATAAACTATTCTGGGGATGTTAGGGGAGAAAGAGAAAAGACTTGGTGACCAGAAGCTTTGACTACAGTTTTGTGGCATGGGCAACTGTGTGGATGGTGGTACTGTTAGTGAAAAGTAGTAAGTTTGGAGAGAAAGATGAAATCATGAGGTTAGAATGCAGAATAAAATCTACCCAGAGGTTAAAGTCAAAGCATAACTAAATGCAACAAACCAGTAATGGTTGTTTAAATATACAATACTCCTGAGGCTGGGCCAACTCTGTCGGAAGATGAGGGGCTGAGGAATCTGAGTTAATTTAGGATTCAGGATTCAGACCTCTTTTTATAAAGATCCAAGATACTGGAAACCAGCTTTATTTATTTATTTGTAGCCTTATCCTATGTTGTCTCTAGAAAACACTATTTAAGAGGCCCAAAGTATCCCAAGGGAGTGCATTGAAAACAACTTTAATATAAATTCTAAAATCCTAGTCTGTGAAACACTGGGCTAGTCACTTACCTTTTCTAAGCCTCAGGTCCTCATCTATAAAACCTGGATGATGATACCTGTCCCGCCCCCTTCGTAGATTTTTCTGGGAGTCAAATAAGTTAATGCATATAAAAGCAACTTACAAACTGTAAATTGCTATATACGTGTAATTTATTACACAGTTTGGAAAATGATGGTCTAAGTCTAGCTCTTGGGCCTTTGAAACTGGAAATAAAACTGAATAGAATGTCGATAGTTTAGTTCCACCAGTCTTCTTGATATGTGGATGGAAACTGTTGGCCTGTGGCCTTATCATATCCCAGGACATTACTGTTCCTTGAGAAACCATACATTCACTCCTCAAATAAGACTCTTCTTTCATCACTTGTCCAATATCCTCCCTTTCAATGCCCCCTGGGGTTCAACTTCTTCTCTGAGACCTTGATCTGTGTTCAAGATGGAGTAAATTAGACATTTCCCAAATTCCATGGATAGGCTGAGGAGGAGACCATTGGCATATTGTTTACCTCCACCAAAGCAGAATTTTATTTACATGATACTGATTTCTCTCTCTCTCTCTTTCTTATTTCTCCTTCTCTTGGTCTTTATCACCACTCACAGAGCTCTGAGTCAGCATCCAACAGTAAACGATGACCTGCCAAATCGTATAATTTCTGGCTTGGTGAAAGTGAAAGGAAATGTGAAGGAATTCACAGAGACAGCTGCCATATTTGAGGATGGCTCCCGGGAAGATGACATTGATGCTGTTATCTTTGCCACAGGCTATACCTTTGCCTTTCCTTTTCTTGAAGATTCTGTCAGAGTGGTCAAAAACAAGATATCCCTGTATAAAAAGGTCTTCCCACCTAACCTGGAAAAGCCAACTCTTGCAATCATAGGCTTGATTCAGCCCTTGGGAGCCATTATGCCCATTTCAGAGCTCCAAGGACGCTGGGCCACTCAAGTATTTAAAGGTAAGTGACCATGCAAATTGACTACTTCATTACTTGATAGTAAGTTTAATTCTGTTTGTGTACTTGCTTTTAAATATATGGCTGGAGACTGTATAACAGTGCTTAGCACAAAGTTAGTACTGGTAAATTCACTTCTGAGTAAAATCAAAAGTAGTGGTTTACAACCACAGACAAACACCAGAATCACTTGGTGATCATTTTTCCAAGCTAGGCATGCTTTCACCCCATTCCTTTAAGTCTGGGTTAGGACAGGCTTAACATCATTAAGGGAATATTTATTCCCCAATGATTCCAAAGTGCAGTCCAGATGAGAATTCAGTCATCTAGGTTTTAGACAACTGGCATATATTTTGAAGTAAAAGAAATTTGTCTTCTTTCATTAGAGATAAAGTCAAATATAGAAATGTTATAACTTGATTTCAGCCAGAAATTAAGACCACCTGGTTGGAGACTAGTTCATAACATAGAATATTCAATCTCTTAAATCCTCACTTTTTTTCCCATATCTCCCCTCTTTCAGTTTTGGCTAGAAGCACATGAAGAAAACATTGGGGGATCTGGGATAGTAGTCTCAATATGAGTCAACAGAATGGCATGGCTTCTAAAAGGCATAATCAAATATAGCATCATTAAAAATTATAACGTCCTAGAATATTATAATTGTTCTTCTCTAAACTGATCAGACAATACCCAAAGACATATTTTTAAAATGAAGATGGAGTGAATTAAATAAGGATAGAGATAATAATGGTTTAAGGGATTTGAAAACATGTCATCTGGAGCACAACTGAAGGAGCTGGAAAGGGTTAGCCTGGAGAAGATAAGATTCAAGGGATGGCCCATGGAAGAAAGGTTAGATTTACTCAGTGTAGCTTCAAATGGTCAAACCAGAAGCGAGGAGTGAAATCTTGAAGGTTGCACAGTATCAAGTTAACATTAAGAAAAAACCCAAAAAGTTTTTTCTATCATCCAGTGCCATTTCAAGATGGAATGGGCTGCCTCTGAAATTGTGAGGGATCCAAGCAGAATAGGAAAAGGATGCCAAGTGACTGAATGGCCATTTGGCCAGGGAGATATGGAGTAGATTCAAGCCTCAGAATAGAGCGAAACCAGATAACTTTTAATGTTCCTTCTAAAGAAGGAATTCATTGATTCTATCATTGTTACAATAAAATTTTCTATCATTACTAATACTTCATTAGAACTATTCAGAGTTCCTGTTGGAAGTACAGCTTTCTTTTCTCTAGCGAAGATCGTGATAATAGCAGAGAAAAAAAGAAGCAATGGTATTAGAGTTGATAGATCAAAAACCTTTCCAAATTTTCCAAAATTTGTATCATTTCTCAATTCCTTCCAGTCTTATCCAGTAGATCATGTACTACTTGAGAGCATTAGACAAGCAATATAATGCAAACAACCCATCGGGTTGGCTTACCTCTGGTCATAGTAAATGGATCTTTTCATTGGGACTATTAAGGGTATAAGGTTCATTAAAACAGGCTGCAGCATTTTAATATATTTTAAGTGACTGAGAGTCTTTTCCAGGACCAAGTGAACTGTTGAGAAGAATAGGGAAAATGAGTATTTACAAGAGGCTACATTGTGGTTGTGGGATTAGGGGATTTTAGGGGAAATGTGCAAAAAGCCCAGTTTTCTGTGCTAGCAGAAGCCTAGTACCGATTCTTCCAGCTTTCTCCTAACACTTGCAAGGAAGAAATCTTCAGAAGAATCCCTACAACCTTACAAAACTTCCAACAGGAACCCTGAGTTTATTCTATCCATGGCTCACCTGTCCACCTACCAAATCCTTGCCTTCTCTTCCCTCCATTCTACATTTACTGTGACAGTTTTAAACCCTTATGACCAGCTGGTTTCTCCCATTCTTCCATGTCTGTCCAACAAAGCCTGTCCCCTTCCCTAGCCTCTCCCTCCCCTACTAAGCCTCATTTCCTTCTTCCTCTGTTTTATGGAATTTCTGTTCTCTTGTCAAGAAAATATTTTACCCTCTTGTAGAACACTGAACTCACTTCTTGCCTTGACTGAAACCTAGCTTCTTTTTTCCTATGCTTCTTTTGCAGCTCTCGCAAGTATTCTACTTTCATTCAGCAACTTTCTTCCCTTGAAAACTATATTAAGTTATGCTGATCCTCTGCATCACAGGAAAGCATTTTGTCGTAGTACGCCATCCACAAGGTTGTTATTCCACAAAGGGGATACAAACTGAAATTTCAGGCCCATCTTTCACTAATCTTTCCCACACACCCTACAGTCCTCTAGATGCACTAGAAAATGTAAGCAGCAAACACGGTAGGTGCCCTGAGCCCTGTGCTTTTGCTTCTGTTGTCCTTCCTTCTTGGTATGCCCTCCCTTTACTTTATATTCGTGTAGAAAAAGCCTGTGCGCATTTCCTCCCTTCCTTAGTAGTACAATATATTGAAAGCTCCAGGAATCGTGTTTATTTGCCTTTGTATTCCAGGCCTAGACCAGTGCCTAGCACACAGGAGGTATCTAACCCATGTCTATTCAAAGGAACGCCAGTTTAGCCTTGACATAAACGAAGTTCTAATTGCTGAAGTAGAAACTTCTTATCTGAGGATCTGAGCTTATGAACTACCTTATTTCCAGGCATGTTAAATCCTGGCTAGACTGGAAGAGCAGAGTGGCAGCCTTATCTCTTTTCATCTTTATACTGAAACATGCAGGGGCCAGTCTGGACCACACAAAGACAACCTATCTTAGGCCCAAGAGCAGACGGAAAGTCCTACTCCCACAGAACTGTAATCCAGGCTCTCTTCCTTCCTACCTTGTCTTGGGCCCCTTGAAAAAAATCTCTGAATTTCAGGCCAGGCGCGGTGGCTCACACCTGTAATCCTAGCACTCTGGGAGGCCAAGGCAGGTGGATTGCTCGAGGTCAGGAGTTCGAAACCAGCCTGAGCAAGAGCGAGACCTCGTCTCTACTGTAAATAGAAAGAAATTAATTGGCCAACTAATATATATATAGAAAAAATTAGCTGGGCATGGTGGCACATGCCTGTAGTCCCAGCTACTTGGGAGGCTGAGGCAGAAGGATTGCTTGAGCCCAGGAGTTTGAGGTTGCTGTGAGCTAGGCTGATGCCACGGCACTCACTCTAGTCTGGGCAACAAAGCCAGACTCTGTCTCAAAAAAAAACCAAAAAAACTGTTCAAGCTTAGAGTTGTTTATATTGACTTAAATACTAAGACCTTTGTCTAGCCCTGTCCTTGGTGTAAAATTCCTCCTACTGGAACTGTTTGTGCTTCAGTGCTTAAATTTATCTGTCAAGATTGGGTATCATGAGTTACCCTTGGCTTTATGCCCCACTCTTTCCAAATAAAAAAGTTTAAAGGAAAGGCTTATCTTCCATAGGACTTTAGACATAAAATGTAATTGAGAGTTTATTTTTACTTCCTTCTCTCTCTGTGGTATAAAGCCCCTTTGTTATCAAGAGCAAGGTGCAGGTATGTTTCCCCACTCCCAAGACCTTCCACTTTGTACCTCATTTTCCATATACTTTTAAGGTCAGCTATCATTTTTTCCTGTCTTTCTTCCATTTTCCAATTGACGGACTATGTTAGGAGGAGGCAGGCATTGGTTGGGAGGCAGAGGAAGAGAAATATCTTCCAAAGACAAAGCAGAACAGAATAAGCTACAGATGTTACTATTATTATGTGGTTGTGGTGGTAGGACAAGGTGATTAAGCGAATTGTAACCCACCTGAGTACAGAAAACCATCCTGTATTTCTTTGAATTCTCCATAGCATAATCATTGTTAATAGGATTGTTGTTCTTACTGAGGTATTTTACACTTAAAATTTTGATTTTTTTCTTTAGGGCTAAAGACACTTCCCTCACAAAGTGAAATGATGGCAGAAATATCTAAGGCTCAAAAGGAAATTGAAAAAAGGTAAGAAAGTCGCCCAGGAAAATATATGGATACTTTTTCTACCTATTACTTTTCTTTTTTTTGAGACAGAGTCTCACTCTGTTGCCCGGGCTAGAGTGCCATGGCATTAGCCTAGATCACAGCAACCTCAAACTCCTGGGCTTAAGCAATCCTCTGCCTCCTGGGCTTAAACTCAAACTCCTCAAACTCCTGGGCTTAAGCCTCCTGAGTAGCTGGGACTACAGGAATGCACCACCATGCCCAGCTAATTTTTTTCTATATTTTTAGTTGGCCAATTAATTTCTGTGTATTTTTAGTAGAGACAGGGGTCTCACTCTTGCTCAGGCTGGTTTTGAACTCCTGACCTTGAGCAATCCATTCACCTAGGCCTCCCAGAGTGCTAGGATTACAGGCGTGAGCCACCATACCTGGCCTCTACCTATTTCTTAATAAGAGCAATATTATTGTACTATATTTAGGTTCCTCATGTTAGTTTCAGGATTTAGATTATATTTTGAAAAAAAAGGGGGGGAATAATAGAATATGAATGAAAAGCTTTAAAAAAGTATTTAAAATCCTATGTGTAAGCCCTAAAAGGAAAGTTGAGTAGGAAAAGCACATGGCAGGTATATTATTTTTATAAGGATTACTTGTAATGGTAGCAGAGCTACCAGAGGAAGGAAGAGTAACAATGAATTAAGGAGAGTTAGATATGGTCAAATTACAAATCTACAGGTAGATTAACAATCTGCAGTGGTCACTTTGCTGGCTGTTATCATGTGACAGCATACTCAGGTCACAGGGACTTATGGTATACATAGTACACGTGATTTGGGAAGACAGTAACCTCAGCCAGCTGCTTAGTGCTTTGGTGACCACAGTAATTTAGCAGTCTGAATTTCAGAACTTGAGCTCAATCACCAGGTGTTTTTTATCTGGACAAAGTAGAAGTTGATGTTAAGTTCCTAAATTTCTGTGGAAAAGCTAGAGGTACAGGGCTAAAGAGGTAGTTTTCTTCAATTGATTATACTAGCATAATTTCCCCCTATCTGGGAAGAGGAAAAAGTAAGTTTTTATTTAACCCTATGACCCTTTACAGGTAATTCTCCTATTTTCCTACTTCCTTTCACTGTCAAACTTCTGCAGTAAATTTTCTACACCCTGTGCATCCTCACCCTTTGCTCTCTCCTAAGCCTCATGCATTGTAACTTCCATCCTTACTCCTGAAACTGCTCTCCTGACGGTCATCCATGACCGACTTCATTTTCCTTCCTCTACTTTTCTTCCACTGCTGAGTTTGTTACTTTAAAACATTTCTTCCTTCTTGGAGTGCTTCCTTTTCTTTTCTTTTCTGGCACTAAACCATCTTATTTCAACTTTCCTTCTCTCTTCCCTTTGACTCATTTTTGCCTAACCACCTGACTATGAGTGGTCCCCAAGGATATAATTTAACCTTTATTGAGGGCCAACTATATGTACACATTAAGTGTTTTTTATATGCATGAGCTTACTTAATCCTCATAATAACCCTACCAAGCAGGAACTAGTGCATCTCTTTTGTGAAACCTTCATGAATGCTATAGCTTTTGACCTACTGCTATAGAATAAATAAATGCATTCCTACAAACCGTTGAGCCAACATAACCTCCATAAGGGAAACCTCTCAAATTCTTTCCTGTCTTCTCTTCTCTTCTCAATCTGATCCCCTTTCAACAAATTCCTACTTGATTATCTATCAGCTCACCAGTTCTACCTCAAATTTATTTTCTATCATTTTTTTCCTATCTTTGTTCTCGATTCCTCAATCTCAGTTAGTCTGACTTGGCTTTTTTCTTACTTCCTTTCTGTCCTACTATTCTTTATTTTCATTGTAGAAAGTAAAAATCCCACTCCTTCTACACATATTTCTCTGTTATCCACATTTCCTCCATAAAAAGTCCTTTTAACTATACAAAGCTGAACGTGGTATAATCATTCCATCTGGCTCCATTTACAGGGCCACTTCCTCCTGTAGGGTAAGTCATCCTCCTTCATCCTTTCAGGATTCCAAATTAACATTGGCCCTGGGAAGTCCTGTTCTGTGGACTCTTCCACAGTGCCCTCATAAAATAATTTAGGATCCCAAATAATTGGGAATTTTGGTGGTAGGTTCACTCTTTCTCACAATATCAGAATCTTTTGTATCTGGATTTGCTATACCTACTCCTCATCATATCTGTATCTTCCACATCCTTTAAGAACCTAACTATGATAGCTCTCTTTTTACTATCCCCTCTCTACATTTCTATTAGCAGTCTAAAACCACATCATTTACTAGGAATCTTATATTTTTCTCTGCTTCATGTATATCTGTTTCATCTCCTTTAGTAGATTAAAAGATCGTTAAGGACAGTGACAAATATCTTTCTTCTCTGTTTTCCACAGCTCCTAGCCCAATATTGAGCCAATAGCAGGCATTCAGAAAACACTAACTGACTGATTGATTGATTAGCTGATTGAGTAATTGAATTGTTGATATGCCATGGCTTCTGTCGTCTCTATTTCAGGTATGTGGAGAGCCAACGCCACACCATTCAGGGAGATTATGTAGACACCATGGAAGAGCTTGCTGACTTGGTGGGGGTCAGGCCCAATTTGCTATCTCTGGCCTTCACTGACCCCAAGTTGGCATTATACTTATTAACGGGACCCAGTACTCCAATCCAGTATCGTCTACAGGGCCCTGGAAAGTGGGATGGGGCTCGAAAAGCTATCCTCACTACAGATGAACGTATCAGGAAGCCTATGATGACAAGAACAATTGAAAGGAGTAATTCTACCACTTCAACAATGACAATGGCCAGGTTTATGCTGGCTGCTGTTTTCTTTGCTATAATCATGGCTTATTTTTAGCTGTCACATTGTCATTGCCCCATTTCTCACTGGGAAGCTTGATCTAGAGATGCCTTCAGAACCTAACAAGATTGGATGATTCTCACCTTTATATTGCCCAGAAATCTACTTTTATGTCTCTTTTAAAAGCATCAATCCTCTTTCCTCTGTTTCCTACATTGAAATCCCAGTTTTTCATTTATATTGATTCATCTCCTTCTCATGATCCATCACTTTTTCCTTCTAATAATCCCTAGACTGTGAGATGAGGTAGTCTTTTAGTCATCTTTCTATGTCCTTAGCAGAGTTCTTGACATGTGATAGGTGCTTCATAAATGCTGTTGTTTATCAAATACTATAGTGGGGAGTGTAAGTCAGCATCTATATAAGAAATTCCTTATTCCATGTAACTCTGCTCCTGATCGGATTTAGTTTTGTATTAAAAGCTCAATTTTGTATGCTTTTAATATTATAACTAAATGTATGTTTCCTGAGAGATAAGAGAAATAATGGTCTTATAATAGTTGTACGTATCTAAGATAAGACATATAGATACTTCAGACATTTTGTTTCACTTGGTATGCCTGATACCTAGCCATATCTACTTCTTTTCCCTAAGCAACATGTTTTTATTTTCTCAATAAAGAAACTACCTTCAACTTTCCAGGCTCATAGTTCATTTTAATAATCCAGCATCGACCAATAGATTCAACTTGGTTGAGAAGTCTGGGATTTTTAAATTAGCTATCCTATCTTTTTTTAAATCTCTTAGTGGCCATAATAGGATCCAAGAGGACTTTATCTTAGGAAATATGCTGACTGTTGTACTGGAGTCTACAAATGTGATTTGATTCATCTTCCTCCACTCTAGCTTTCTCCCCTTCCCCATTCCCTTAAATGGAATCTAAGTAATAAGTATTCAAAGAGATCACTTGTGTACTAAATTAGAATTGATATTAACTAAATGTAGGGGCATTCTGCTTATACCAGTTTTTCTTATGTCAGACAGTGTAGTTCTGAAAAACAGAGCAACTGAAATGGAAAGCAGGGGCTTGGGTTTACGTCCCAGTGCTGCTGCTGATTCTGTTTTCTCTTCTGTAGAAGTTTTGCTGTTTTTGTTTCATGGAGAAATTAACTAAGTGTCAGCTTTCAGGCATACTGAACTCCATAAAGAAAGGAACGAAAGTGCCAGGTGTATGTTCATAAGTAGCTGTTGCACAATATGTTTGTAAATTTCTGGATTGCTCCCTATTACTTAACAATAGCATAATTTTGAACTGAAAGAACATTAGAAACTATTATCTTTCCTAATACAAATACACATAAGAGAACCAGAAATATGAGAACTACAACTTCTTCCAAATCACATAACTATTTGGACAATGGCCTGCCATTTTGTCTAATTAGCTGTGGAATGCCTTTTGAGAATTAGAGAATTGAGAATTGGTATTGCTTCTGAGGTCTTTTTCCTTCCCTAATCCTGTGACACCAGGAATTTATCATCTATTAAAATAGACCTACTATTTTTTAATCTGCAGATTACTCTTTTTTTTTATTTCAGCATAATAAGGAGGTACAAATGTTAAGGTTACAAACATTGCTATTGCCTTCCCTCCCCACTCGAGTCAGCTTCAAGCATGTCTATGCCCCCAACAATGCACAATGCACTTATAATGTATATATATAAACCCATCCCCTGCCCTCTACCTGCCCGACACCAGATAAATGTTTTCTTTTAATTACATTTTGGTTAGATTTTATAATTTTGCCTTTATTTAGCTAAGGTTAGAGGTATGCCCTTACCCTCCACACTGTTCACCGCCTCTTTCAGATGTGGGTCTATCCCCCTACCCCCCGAATCTCTGGTGAACACCACCACCCTTTTATCACCATATTGAAAATCAGTCAGTACCAATGTGACGGCGAGTACATATGGAGCCCATTTTTCTAATCTTGTGTCACCTCACTTTGGATAATGGGCTTAAGCTCAATCCAGGATAGTATAAGCAGTGTTAGCTTGCTGTCATTTCTTAGAATTGAGTTGTAAACATATACCAAATTTTAATTATCCAGTCATGAATTGAAGGGCACTTAGGTTGTTTCTACATCCTTGCAATAGTGAATTGTGCTGCCAAAAACATTCGGGTGCAAATGTCTTTATAATAGAATGTCTTATGCTCTTTTGGGTAGACGCCTAATAATGCTATTGCTGGGTCGAATGGTATTTCTATTTTTAGCTGTTTGAGGTATCTCCAAATTCTTTTCCACAAAGGTTGCACCAATTTGCAGTTCCACCAGCAGTGTAAGAGTGTTCCTGTTTCTCCGCATCCTCACCAGCATTTATTGCCTTGGGATTTCTTGATACGGGCCAATCTCACTGGGGTTAGATGATATCTCATTGTGGTTTTGATTTGCATTTCTCTAATGATTAGAGATGTTGAGCATTTTTTTTTATATGTTTGCTGGCCATACTTCTGTCTTCTTTGGAAAAGTTTCCTTTCATTTCCATTGCCCATTTCTTGATGGGGTTGTTTGATTTTTTCTTGTTAAATCTTTTGAGTTCTAGATAGATTCTTGTTATCAGACCTTTATTGGAAGAGTAGAGAGCAAATATTTTCTCCCATTCTGTAGGTTGTCTATTCACTCTAATGATAGTTTCTTTGGCTGAGCAGAAGCTTCTTAGTTTGATCAGATCCCATTTGTTTATTTTTGTTGCCGCGGTGATTGCTTTGGGGGTCTTCTTCAAAAATTCTTGGCCCACTCAGGACTTTGATTACTCTTTAAAAGTAAATTGAAGGTCTCTTGCTTCTTTTTAATTTCCTTCTTTAAACATACAAAATTGCCTCTCTTTCAATAGGTAAATTTGTTGGATTAACAGTCCTTTGATAATATAATTCCTAGTTATCAGCAATAAGTATGCTAGTTTCCTCTTTAAATAAAATGTGTTTAATTCTAAATTCATTAACTCCTTCATTTTATTTGTAATATGTAAGGTTACAAAATATCATTGGTCAATTTCTAAGCCAAACTAAGAGTAAGATGTGATTAGGAAATTGAATTCAAAACAACTCAAGATAAAGAGCCCTCATTACTGATGAATGTCTACTAGTATCATTGGTTTACCATATCTCATTCTTCTAATTATATTAAAAGGTTATATAGCATTTTCCAAATTATATTAAATACAATTACAAAAAACATATTCTTATAGTGCCAGAGAGTAAGGAAGTGCTCAAAAAGCCAACTGAATGTCAAATATCAAAGGGACACAGGAGCCATCTCAATCAAAGTGGTCCCAATGGCCAAAGCTAGAATAATTTGAGCAATAAAATAAATAAACTAGTATTGGATTATAACATAAAATATAAAAAAATACCATGAGTCTATACTGATATAAGTGATTGAATAAATTAATAAATGAGGTGGAACAGACAAATCTACCATGCAGAAGAATTCCAAATATTTTATGTACTCTGCCCTCAAGGAGATGGAGCATAATACCCTACTTCTTAATCCTGGGCTACATAGAGTGACTTCCTTCCAAAGAAGATAATAGGGCAATGGGAAAAAATAACTTTGCAGTGGAGAAATCTGATAACACTACTAGATTATATAACACTACTAGATTATATATATGTGATCAAGATTAACATCAACAGTCATAAGTCATGTTCACGATGTATGTATTCTTGATATGATGTGATAAGAAAGTCACTTTGCCTGTGTGGTATTCCTCCCAATGACCAAAACCCAGTCTAACCATGAGAAAAAAAACAAGGGAAGTCTGAGAAATTGTCACAGTACAGAGGAGCTTAAGACATGACATCTAAATGTAATATAGTGTCCTGGATGGGATCCTGGAACAAAAAAAAGAGGGGGGGAGACTTTAAATAAAAATTAAGGGAATATTAATAAAATATGCATTTTGGTTAACAATAATGTATCAATATTGGTTTATTAGCTGTGACAAATATGCCACAGTAATGTAAAATAGTAACAATAAAGGAAATTGAGTGTGGGGTATACGGGGACTCTGTGCTATCTTTGCAAGTTTTCTTATATCTAAACCTATTCTAAAATTAAAAATTAATAATAAGAAGAATAAGCAGAAGAAATATAGGGTGTTTTGGGTTCAGGATTTGACTCAGAGATAGAGTTTAAAGGAATTTTCTCAGAGGAGGAAGAATATTGAGTAGTACCAGTCATTTAAATTGCTATCTTTTTCATGATTATTATACAAATTAAGTTGTTCTAATAGAGCATAATGTAACTTAATATAGAAATTTTGTTTCCTTTGCTGACTAAAGTACAGACTATAGTTGTAGAGGGTGGGAAATGGTGATATAAGGTGAAAAGACACAACTTCTTAAAATCATTTAATTCTTTCTTGTAGCTGAATGCATTATGCCAGGAGTCCCTACTAGCAAAATTTATGGTTTATTAGTGACAGGTGCATTCATAAGTAAGGTAATTTTACTTAATACTGGGTCTGTGCCCTGTTACTTTAGTTAATAGTAATATAGTACATAAACATCCTCCAGACTGCCTGCTTGGGATTTCCCAAAGTGCCATGTTTTCCTATGCTTCTATACACATTTTTTTAAAGGGGAAAAGTTCTTTTAATAGCCAGTTTTGCCCAAATGATCCAATGACACTCTACAAAAAAGACACCTGCACTCAAATGTTTATAGCAGCACAATTCATAATTGCAAGGCTGTGGAAACAGCCCAAGTGCCCATCAATCCAAGAATGGATTAATAAAATGTGGTATATGTATACCATGGAGTACTATTCAGCTCTAAGAAACAATGGTGATATAGCACATCTTATATTTTCCTGGTTAGAGCTGGAACCCATACTACTAAGTGAAGTATCCCAAGAATGGAAAAACAAGCACCAGCTATATTCTCCAGCAAACTGGTATTAACTGAGTAGCACCTAAGTGGACACACAGGTACTACAGTAATAGGGTATTGGGCAGGTGGGAGGGGGGAGGGGGCGGGGATATACATACATAATGAGTGAGATGTGCACCATCTGGGGGATGGTCATGATGGAGACTCAGACTTTTGGGGGGGGGGGGGAAATGGGCATTTATTGAAACCTTAAAATCTGTACCCCCATAATATGCCGAAATAAAAATAAAATAAAATAATTAAAAAAATAGCCAGTTTTGGATTCAGGAGATTGTAACAGTTAATTTCCCCTTCAAATCAATGGAAAGAACATTAGTTCAGATCATGCTAAAAATCTAGCATTTTAAAATGTTTTCTACATTCCAGAAGTGAATGTATCCACTCAGGTTTTCTCTGGGCTCTTTCTAGGTCCCAGATACTCAGAACAACTTGAGTTAAAGAGGAGAAGGGGTAGAAAGTAAGACATATAAAGACTGCCCCTGTGGCAGCATAATCCCTGGATGTTGTGGCGATATTTAAATGAATGGAATTTGCTATCCCCTTGACGTGACATATAATTAATTACTTGCTTCTCAAATTCTTCTCAAAAGAAACAGTTCCATCCTTACTGGGAAAGAATTTAAGAGCAACTAATATTCACAATATCCCATATTCACTTAGAAGGGGGCAAATGAGAGCGTCTTAAGAATTTCACAGGTTTCTCCAATCACAAAACCAAAGACAACGTGACACTGTACTTTTTTG